GTTGAGTATCAGAGATTGTTCCATCTTGTTTCACTCTGGGGTTGCTGTAGGTGATCTGGAAGTCTATTTCTGAGCCTTGTTTACATGTCTTCTCATTTCCATAGGTGTGGGGGGGTGCTGCTGGCACCCATGTGGCTCATCTCCTCTGCCCTAGGAAGGGTGGAATGGCGGCAGGGAGCCTTCTCCTGGGTGCTGAGATTGGCTCACCTCCTCTGCCCTAGGAGCGCTGGAATGGTGGCCCAAGGGCAGAAAATTAAACTTTCAGTACTAAATAAATTGAATACTTGAATCGCTTCTTGGTCTTTTGGCTAAGATCAAGTGTGAATACTTGAAAAGATGCTAATATTCTAAAATTGGGTGTTGCATCCTAGTGTATTGTGAGGATCAAATGAATTAATCTATGATAAGTACTTAGAATAGTCCTTGGCACACAATGAGTGCTCCATGAGGCTTAGTACCTCTTATTACATTCATCAAAACAAATACCTGTTTTCTTTCAAAGCCAACCATTCATTAGGAAGGAAATGGGGGAGCTTGGTGCAGTCAGAAATGGGAAATGGGGAAATGGTGCAGTCGGCACCAAAGGACCCATCTTTCCACATAAGAATCCTGGAAGAGGAGGAAGAGGAAAGAAAATGAGTCGAAAATGGCTGTTATTCAGGATCTGTTGACATTTAGGGATGTGGCCATAGAATTTTCCCAGGAGGAGTGGGAATATCTGGCCCCTGTGCAGAGGACTTTATACAGGAACGTGATGTTGGAGAACTACAGGAACCTGGTCTCCCTGGGAATCTCTCCTTTTGACCTGAGTGTTTTCTTCATGTTGGAGCAAGGGGGAGAACCCTGGAGTGTGCATGGGCAAGTGAAAGTATCAAGGAACTCAAATGGGAGGGAAAGTGTCAAAAAATGTGAACATAGATACCTCTCCTAAATGTGCCATCAAAGAATTTCCACCAAAAAGGAAGAGTCATACTGGAGAAATGTTCCAGACAGCAGTGTTGGAAAGACATAAAATCCATGACATTCAAGAATCGTGCTTCAAAGAAATCCAGAAAAATGACTTTGAGTGTCACAGTAGACAGGTTAGAAGACAATGCATGCTTTACTATGCATCAGACAATCTATGCTCAAGAGAAACAGTTTCTATGTGTTATAGGTGGCAAGGTCTTCAATAAGAAATCAAACCTTAGAAGTCATCAGGGAATGCATACTGGAGAGAAACCTTACAAATGTAATGAATTTGGAAAAGTCTTCAGTAAAAAGTCATACTTAGCAAATCATCAAAGAATCCATACTGGAGAGAAACTTTTCAAATGTAATGAATGTGGCAAGGACTTCAATCAGAATTCAAACTTTATATGTCATCAGACTATTCACACTAGTGAGAAACCTCACAAATGTAATGAATGTGGCAAGGTCTTCAGTCTCAATTCATACCTAGCAAATCATCAGAGAATCCATTCTGAAGAGAAAGCTTACAAATGTAACGAATGTGGCAAGGTCTTCAGTCAAAAGTCAAACCTAGCAAATCATCAGAGAATGCATTCTGGAGAGAAACTCTACAAATGTAATGACTGTGGAAAAGTCTTCAGTAAAATGTCATACTTAGCAAACCATCAAAGAATCCATACTGGAGAGAAATCTTTCAAATGTAATGAATGTGGCAAGGTCTTCAATCAGAAATCAAACTTTATATGTCATCAGACTATTCTGGTGAGAAATCTTACAAATATAATGAATGTGGCAAGGTGTTTAGACAGAAGTCATACCCAGCAAATCATCAAAGAATCCATTCTGGATTCTTTCAAAGTAATAAATGTGGTAAGGTCTTTAGTCACAATTGCTACCTTGTACAACATCTGATAATTCATGCTAGAGAAAAACCTTATAAATGTAATGAATGTGGCAAGGTCTTCAGACACAAGTCATACCTAGCAAGTCATCAGAGAATCCATACTGGAGAGAAACCTTACAAATTCAGTGAATGTGGTAAAGTGTTCACTCAGGTCATTTCTAGCAAAGCATCAAACCATCCACACTGGAGAGAAACTTTACAAGTACGATAAATGTCAGAAAGTGTTCAGTTGTAATTCATACCTTGCAAAACATCTGATAATTCACACTGTAGAGAAACCTTAACAAATGCAATGAGGTGTTCAATAGCAATTCCCACCTTGCACATCATTGTAGCATTCACACTGGAGAGAAACCTTACAAATACAATGAATGTGGCAAAGTGTTCAGTCTAAACTCATTCCTAGTATGTCATCTGAGAGTTCATACTTGAGAGAAACCTTACTAATATAATGAATGTGCCAAGATCTTGAGTTAAATTTGACACTTTATGCACCAGAGAACTCATAGAGGTGAGAAATCTTACAGATTCAGTGAGTGTACTAAGCATGTAATACATACTAGAAAAAATATGGCAAGGGCTTCATGACAATTCCTATCTTGGAATTCCTTGGAAATTTCATCCTGGAGAGAAAGCTGATGAATGGGGAAGAAGACTTCAAGCAGTGTCCAAGCCATACAAAACATTGGACAATTCCAACTGGGAAGATAATTTTCATGTAGGATAAATGAGAGAACCCTTGAGTTATCATTTAACAAGTAACCATAAGCTAATGCATAGTAGAGAGAAACCTTTCCAATACAATGCCTGAAGGGGAAAATATGGCATTAGTATTCACTGAAAAATTCAAACTCCAAAAAACCTCACAAATGGAGTGAGAGTTGCAAATCTTTTAATATACACTCAGGGCTCAGAACACATCAAAATATATCCTCGAGAGAACCTTAGATAAATATAAGTAGTTTGGCAAATCCTATCTTCAGTGCTCACACTTTAGCACATATTAGATAACCCATACTGGAGAAAAACCGTAGAAATGAGATGAATGCGCAAATTCACACCATGCATAACACTGGAGAATTTATATATGACTGGTAAGATATAGGGAGGGTGACAAGACCTTCCAATGAAGTCAAGCAATAATCAACATCCCAATCCAGACTAAAGAGGAACAGTTATAAAAAACATAATGCAAGTACAACAGACACTTGCAAGGCTGAAAATTCACTAGATATCAAACTTCTCTTTGTGGAAGCCATACAAAGTTAATGGGCATGCTAAGGCTTTTTTTCCAAGCTTCAAAACTGGAATAGAATAGTTGAACTGGAGAACCTTACATATGTAGTGAATATACTGAGTTTTTGTCAAGTGTTAATTTTGTTCTTATAAAAGGATTTGTTCTGGGGTGAAACTAGACAAATGCAGTGAGCTTAGGAAGTTCATTTTTACCAGGCATGGTGGTACATTCCTCTAACACCAGCACTTTGGAAGCTAAGTCAGGAGGATAGCCACAAGTTCAAGGCTTGCCTGGGCTACAGAATTAAAAGCCAGTCTGAAATGCCCCTGTCTCAAACACCAAAAAATCTTCTTATAAGTTGTGTCCTCAGGATTCACCAAACAATTACTATTGCAAAGAACTCTTACAAATGTAAATCTGTGGTAAATTAACCAAATCTCACAGTGTATTCCATTTCATGGAATTTATATGAAGAATAAGTCAGTCTATCCAATGTGAAACCTGTGTCTTACATACTGCAGAATACTGTAACTACAAGTTAAACTATGTTAACATTCATGATATATGTCAAAGATGCAAGGACATTTGTAAATGGGCAGATACTTTCAGGTTATAAAATACTCTGTTCTTTGTGATTTTTTTTGGAAAGGAAACCTATATTTGAATTTTAACCTCAACTTTGAAAGGTTTTGATAATGCTTTTCTTACAGGCTTCTCATGTTGCTATCTAAAAAGGCATCAGTAAAATGAAAGGCCTTACCTCATGAAATGAGAACACTTCTGACCATGTTGCTTTGGAACAAGGATGCAGCCTTTCAAAATTAAATATTGTTTGCATTAAAGAATTAAAAAAAAAGAACTCTAGATTCTCCAAGTTTATTTTATTTTTTATTTTCAGATGGGCCCACTCAGTCATCTCCATCTGTGACTCCTTTAATCATATTTCCTTTTTGTCATCACTACCTCTCTTGAAGTCATTTTTCTAGAGAGACTATATGGGTTGCATTTTCTGAGAGTTTTCATATTTGATTAGATCTTTTATTTCAATATGAAAAGGACACTTTACTGAGACACAGAACTCTTGAATCGTAACTATTCTCCTTAAAAATTAATGTGATTCCATCACCTTTGGCATTTAATGGACTGAGGAGAAAATGTCTACTCCAGCCTGTTGTGTGTGTGTGCACATGTGTATATATGTTCCCTCCCAGGTACTCTGGAAGTTGGATGTTGTTGGAAAATATCCAGTTGACTGTTCAACCTCTGGAATAGAGTAGAACAGGAATGTGTATGGAGGGGTCATATGTGGGTCAGACAGGAAGGGGAGAGTCTATAAATTTGTCACAGAGATTGTGTTTTGTTGAAATGATTGTATCAGAGGCCAGATTTTTCATGTTTGGTTTTCTGTTCACCTTAGCCTATACTCCACATACACAGGACGGGTATAGCTTTCTCTGGGACCTTCTTCCCTGGAGCTTTCACTTGCCTAGATGGGAGGTGTGTCCTGGCATTTTGGAGGGCTGTGCTTCTAATGTGGGTGCATATTTTAATATAACAGGAGCCAAGTAGATAAAATTTTAGATAAAACTCTTGGAGCCAGCAGAGTTTCATGGTGGCCCTACTCCAATACATGCTCCAGTTAGTTCTAGTAGAAAAGTGCTTCTTTAAGGAGAGATTTTTGTCTTTTTCATGTCTTTTTCTTGTTGTTTGAAAGTGCAATTTAGGTACTCACTTCAGCAGCATATATCCTAAAATTGGAATGAAAGTGTAATTTAAGGCCCTATTTCCTCTTCCATTTTAGGAAAGTGCTCTCCAGTGTCACCATACCCCTGTGAACCTGGGCAAGTAGCAAGCTGAACGGGCTGCCAACTTTTCTGATATCCCCACAGGCTGGCGTTTTCTGCCCAGCCAGATAGCCTCTGAATCTGTGGTTCTGTCCAACTGTTACTTTTACTTACCACTTTTTCTCATCCTCATTAGGAATTGCAAGTGAAATTTCTCAAGATCTGCTTAACAACTCACAGCACTGCACAATTTCCAGGGCAGTAGGACTATGTTGGCTTCAGTGAGATCTTCTAATCTTGTTTCGTCTTTACTTTACCGATATTATCTGCTCAATTGGTAAGGTGTTGGCAATACGGTTTATTTTTAGTACTGAGAATTTGTTCCAGTATTTTACTTTTATGATTTTATCTCTTTCTGGGAAGAGGATTTGAAATAGACCTGTCACTTCTTTGTAATTCAAAAGACTATAGAGAATTCTGCATAAATTGAAAATTTTACATTTCATTTTCTTCTTAAGAATCAGAAACACTCTAGTTCCCTAATAAGATTTCTTTGCAAATTTGCTTTTCAGATTGCTCTCAGCATAAGGTTCAGCTCACTCATTCTTTGACTGATTCATATAAGCTTCCTTTGGACTTGTCTCCCAGGCCTAAAAATGCTCCTTTCATGAGGCCTGTTGTCCTGAAAACTGTAACCACAACAGCTCTAGAGGGATGGGATGTGTGCCTGACAGAAGGCACAGAAAGCAATTGAAGTGAGCAGGAGTGCTTGCAACCATTGGGCTGCTCATCTGGTGGCTGATGAATATGAAGCCATAAAGTATGTGACTGGCCTCCCTCCTCCTCAGTTAGTGTTCCCGACTTACCTCTTGCTCTCTTACAGACACAATTTGTTTTGTAGATTATCTCTGGCAAAATTTCCTCTCCTGGACTTCTCTGTGCCCTCGAGGAGCTACTGGATATCTTTCCCCAACTATCAGGTAATAAGTACCCACAAAAAGCTAACAGGTTTTAAATACAATTGGAAAGATAAACCTACTGAAAATTGTTATACAAAAGCAAATATGAAGGATTTTGGTTGCTGCTGTATGTGTGTGTGTGTGTGTGTGTGTGTGTGTGTGTGTGTATAT